GCTTGCCTGTTGCATCGGATTTTACTTTGAGTAATCTTTAACTGTGTAGCAAAAATCCTTGAAGCTACATTTTTATGAACTATTGTGTTAATACTAGATCTAGAACTAGATTCTATAAGTAAAAGTATTATGAAAAATAAAAGAAGTGTAATTCATATAAGCAATCTCAATGGAAATTATTAATCTAATTATGCAAATATGTTTGCCAGTACTGTATATGTATGATTGCTGTCTGTAAGACTGAATATAATGAAGTATTTGATGGTGACCGCGCGTGAAGAGGTGTCTCAGAAGTGTCTACAGCTTTGAAAACGTTCCTAGCATCAAAAGAAACGTTGAAAGGTCATGATACAGCACTCTTTCTCTATCTCTCACAATCCCAACCGGTCACTTCTGGTCTCTGTTTGTTTTCTTGAGCAACATTAACCCTGTCCGTACGCCCTGAAGGCATGTTGTACCCCCGGGGTTGCATTCCTCACATTTTAGAATACTTCTAGTGCGAAGGTCTCTTTGAAACTTTCAGTATTTTTCAAAAAATGATTTTGACAGACTTGTACAGTCGAGCAGTCTTACAACAATGCTGCTCTCAGATGGTTTTATTTTTTATCTGCTTGAGCCAAGCTAAAATTCTTCTTTTTTTTAAAAGCTGAAACTGAGAACGAAACGACAGGGCCTAGTAGAAAGTGTCTGTAACAGACATGTACAATGCATATCATGTCATGACAATTTCGCATTGGCAGGCATATCATGTTGTGATGATTTACCACTGTCAGGCCTGCACACTACATTGAAACCCTAAGTGGAAAAGTTGGAGAGGCACGTTAGGATCTGAGAAAGAAACACGCGAACAGGATAAAACACTTTACATGAAGCAGTAACAACTCATGCAAGGCAGCTGTAAGACGGTGGTGATGAATGGAAACACATTTTTTGGCAGGTCTGAGGGACACACTCATAGACCTAACATACACAGACGTCATGTGAACAGAATTTGCAAGAAATTTAACCAAATATGATTTATCGTGGTAGCAGTAATTCTATTATTTGCATCTACTGTTTCATCTAAGCTTCTTTTTTTGACATTACCCCCCCCCCTCGACATAAAGAAAACAGTGGCCCTTGCTTCCTCAGCTCAACAACAAAACAACAGGGACAGAGTGGCGGAATAACAATTACGTCAAACAGACTATTCTCATTCTCCATGACAAAAACAAATAACAGGAGTACTTTCGATCACCTACCTGCCCAATACTTCTCCAAGCTAAAATTGAAAGAGAAAAGAATGATTTAATATTTTAGAAATATTCAAATGTAATTATATTGTTTAACTGACATGCATTTGCAATTAGGAAAAGTCTCAAACCCCAGGAAATCCCCCCCCCTCCCTTTATTCCCCGTTTCTTACAAGAAGATTTAGTCGCAACAACTGTCGGGGTTACGGAGAGAAGGAACAGACAAAGCAAGAGCCTTTCCTGCTGTGTCTCTGAAGTTCTGGATAAAAAAAAAAAAGAATTTCTCATCAAACAATTTCACTAATAACGCACAAACATTTGTCAACATCACACACACACAAACACCCCCACCCCCACCCCCACCCCCACACATACACACAAACACACACACACACAAAGGCTAATTATACAAACCGACCAGTTAGAAAAATAAAAATGTTCAAAAACACTCTGAAGCATTATTAACAATCTCACATTATACAGCACTGGAATGTTACATCACTAGACTACTACAAACATAAGGGAGACTAAAAAAATCTAGCTTTTGCAATGGGAGATTTCTGTATTCTTCTCAAAGAGACTTTCCATCTAACCCCAACTCTGTTTTATGTTAAACAGGTCATGTACAGAGAACATTATAATAAGACGACAATCACTATCAGTCTAAGATCAGACTTATGACTAAACGAAAAAAAAAATCCCAATAAAACAAACAAACAAACAAAAACATCACAAGACTTCATCAGCAGAAAAACAATTGACACCGGTTTTCACATAATACGATTGGCAAGAAAATTAATAATAAAAAAACAAAAAAAAACCCCAACAACAAAAAAACCTGGGTGTAACTCTGTAACTCCTTACCTTTACATTCGACTTGTATTCAGTCAAAATAACACCGGCTCATTAAAACGAAATGTAAAATCGCAGGCATGCAATGTACACGTAAGCCAGCAAGATGCGTAAAAATAACATGATATCACAAAAAAAGTACACTCGGGCATGGTTTATCTGATAGACAACAAAAGTCGACGCGACGAGATTCAGGTAACAAAATGAACGGGAAACAGTTCAGACATTACATACACGTCGATCCATCGTGCTCACCCACGACACAAGAGTAATGATGGAAACAATACACATAGATGTATATATTATATATTATTTCATACACTGTTCGCTCAAAAGCTAGAAAATCATTTCGCACTTGTAGTACAAGCTATTAAAGTTATTTAGTATGTAGCTTGATTTCATGTATATATTTTTAAAAAATTCAATTTGAAGGTGCGTCTCCATTTCAACACCTGAGAATTGAAACAATTATTAACAACACATAGTTTAAAAATTTCGTAAAACGTTTCTGTTCAGCTGTAAGAATAAGACACCGGGGATGGGCTAAAAAAACCAGTTGTAGAATTTCTCGTTAAATCTCATACTTCGTCACAAGTGAGCAGGTCCTCTGCGTTTAGCGCAAATAACATCATGAAGCATTTTGAAGGTTCAAATTGAAGGAGATGAACTTCAAAAACAAAAACATTCATATCTTGGCAACCGGGAGGAAAGGTGAAAACATCACTTGATGGAAATTTACAATGAAATTCTTCATAGCACATGTACGAGGCCACAAGTGACAGATAATATAATGTAACTATTTACAAAACAAATTAAATTAAAGGAAATTGATGGCACATATATCAAAATAGTACATACAATGTGACTGTACATATATATATATATATATATATATATAAATAGGAGTGTGTGTGTGTGAGTGTGTGTGTGTGTGTGTGTGTGTGTGTGTGTGTGTGTGTGTGTGTGTGTGAGAGAGAGAGACAGAGAGAGAGAGAGAGGGTGGGCAGAGAGAGAGAGAGAGAGAGAGGGGGGGGTGGGCAGAGAGAGAGAGAGAGGGGGGTGGGCAGAGAGAGAGAGAGAGAGAGATAGCGAGAGATAGATAGAGAGAGAGAGAGAGAGAGAGAGGTGGCGAGAGAGAGAGAGAGAGAGAGAGAGAGAGAGAGAGAGAGAGAGAGAGAGAGAGAGAGAGAGGGGGGGGGGGTGTCTCTCATGTCCTTGTCTTTGGGCTCATTTGTCTCCGTGCTCAGACTCAGAGGAAGCCAAACAGTATATCGCACACGTCACAACTTCATCAGTATAACAAGCAAGAACATCGCTCGAGAAACGACAGTACGCCTGGAGTCAGTATTGTCGTCTTGCCTTCACAGAGAGGACCACCATACGTTTTTCCGTAGCAAATGGAAGAAGGGAAGTAGGCCTACTAGGGTATGTAGGAAATTGCAGCTGTGATTGTGATGTCTGGCACTGTAAGTGGCAGCATTAATGTTTTTAGAAAAAGTAACAAAAAGAAAAAAAATAACAACCCCAAAACCACAAAGAAAGCAAAATTGTTACTTTTCATCCAGTTCACTGACAACACCTACTTAAAAGGGATGTCTAATTTGCAAACAATTTTGTTTTCTTCTGCAAAGGTAGTAAACTTAGATTTCTATGTTTTAACTTTCACACTCATATTATTGATACATATCCTTTTGCACATCTATATATGTAAACAGTTTCTTTACACTTGGACATAACATTACTTTCAAACGTGAAATAGAAGGATTTCCAGCCCCTACCCCCAATTCTGTACCCTCCAATATTTCTCAACGGCAGCACTTTTTATATGCCATTACATGTTTTTAAGCGGAAATTTACATTCTTGACAAATTGTACATATGTGATTTGTTTGAAAAGTGTTTTTGAAAAAAAAACAACTCCACAAGAAACTAGTATAGGCTACTTAATTAATTATGTTTCCAGAAGAAAAAAAATTGCACAATTCAAAGACAAATGTATCAATCAAGCTCACCACAATTATCAAATTAAATGGATGAAAAGGAGATTAATATAGTGCAATACAGCAACAATTTTATCACAAATGATGACCATGCACATTGCTTGACATATATTGCAGATTCATCCCAGTTCAGCCAGTTACACCATGCATAACGTTAAACAACAGAACAACGATTTTAGTTGACCGTAACATTATTTCAATCACTCAGCAGAAATATAACAGTGAACTATTGCCTATCAACAAACACGTCTCACAGATTTCGAAGATGCGCAAACATATCTGGAAAAGTCATTAAACTATTTCAACTGAACACACATAGATATGGTATATATATATATACATATGTATATCTATATATATATATATATGTATATAATATATGTTACGTGTATATATATACATGTATGTGTGTATTTATCAAAGCACTAGAGGGTGCTGACAGCAAAACTCAACTCATTCATCCATCTCACCATTTTCTCAAAGTGCTATAGTAAATTTTTGCTCTTAAAACGCTAAATTATCCTGCAGTTACTACAGTTTATAAAACCAGGCTTCCAGTCAATTTGTTATTTTGCTTAACAGTTTTCAGTCAGATTCAGTGGAGGTTTCAGTAAACCACATGAAAGTCTAACAACAGTATAGACTACAACTACAACGAAAAGGGGACAGTTGAAACCAGTGAGTAGGTTGCACACCAAATAGTCGTTTTTTAAGCACAAGGGGGCTATCCCGAAAATTGCTGTTTTGAGAAAATCGAAGGTAAAATTTGTGCCCCTTGTTCAGGTTCTTTAAAAGACAAAGAGAGTTCTCTTTATAACTAAACAAATATACACACCAACGAAACCAAACTTCTCCTATAGGTTGGGCAATATCCACTTTTGGTATTGGTCAAGATTTCTAGGAGCCCCCAAAATCTGGGTAAGCCCGCTTGTCCTTAAAAGCGACCAAATATTTCCCAACTAACCTTTATTCTTCAGCCCACAGAAAAAAGAGCTTCATACAGAAAGGACTGAGTAAACACAAAGGTCTCTTCCCCTCAGCACACTTGGGTCATTGTAAGACCCAAAACCTGGAACAAACTGAAACAGCTTCAAACAGGATTTCTTCAGCTCCACCAGGCACTTCTTATGCTACAACAGATGTGAGGAGTTGGATCACAGAAAACTGTGACGTCAAGACACTTGAGTTCACAAAGGCAGTGGATTGCGACTCCCAGTGAGTACACACCATAACATCACACAGTCGAGTCATGAAGGAGAAAGAGTAATGAGTACTTACACTTTCATAAATTTTATATGAATGAAGAAAGAAAGTGAGCCCAAAACTCACACTCCGAGGTCAACGAGAAAGAAGAAACGCACACAACATTCTGAAGACAAGACACTAAAAGAGTAAATAGGTAACACACTCACGGGTCACTAATAATAAGTAAGAGTGAGAACAGGTATGTTTTTACTTGAAAGTCACAAATGAAAATAAAAAAGGCAAATAAGAACAGAGGAATAAATGAATGAGAACAGGTATGTATTTATACTTATTACTTAAAGAGTCACAAACGAGAAAGAGAGATGAATATGAATGAACAGAGTGGGGGGGGGGATGACTTAATACGATGTACTGTAAATAACGACTGACCAACTTCTCTCCCACTCACAGAGGAACATAACGAAGGAAGAAGTTCACCGGAGAGCTTCATCCACCAGCCCCGATCACGTGATCAACCAGCCCCGATCACGTGATCAGCATGGGAACACCAACAATCAAACACCAGAGAGACTTCTACACTGTACATCACATCTCAATAGCTGTCCCAAAAGCAAATATGCATTTATGGAAATTATGATTTCATTTCTTAGTGTTTCTCCAGCACAACGATTTTCTAAACAAAGGAGAAGTTAAAATAATAATAATAATATATTACAAATAGAGCAAAAATAAGGAAACAATTCCTTCAACAACTGGCAGTGGTGTGATCAAGACAGTGGTGGATTAGAAGAAACGCACTGTGATGATGAGGTAGATGATGAGGGTAAAGAAGGGGCTGCAGGTGTAATTGATGACGACGAAGATGATGAAGATGAAGATGACGACTGCGATGATGACGGCAAAAACGCCGAGGACGAGATTGTTGATGACGGAGACGCTGGAATTGATGAAGCTGTTGATGAGTGTGCCGTCGCTGAAGATGAGGAGAAGGATGACGAAGACGACGATGATGATGTCGACGACGACGATGAGGCAGTGGGGCTTGAATCGAGGTCAAAGATTTCCTTAAGCAGCGGCATGACTTGGGAGAAGTCAGGCGTGGAATCAAACACGTACCCTCTCAAGTTGTCGCTGAAGTCTTCCACCATCTGGCAAAGGTCAGGTACCAACAGGAGGACTTTAGCCAGAAGCACCTGTAAAACACGAGGTTAAACAATGTACAAGACACTAAAACGACAAAAACCAAACCAAACCCCAACCTGGCATAAAGAGAAAAAACAAGACAGTTTTAGTTTTAGTAGAGGTTTTACGGCGCTCGCAACTGCATAAGGCCATATGAGCGCCAGAAGATTAGAGGTGTTCCAAGAGAGTAACAAACATAAAAAAGGAAGAAAGGGAGATAAGGATGATAGATGTTTGATAGGAAAGAAGAAGCAAACCACACCAGAGCACCCGCCAACCACCCATAAAACAAAGACAGGAAAGGAAACTGAGCCCTAATTCTAAATTGATATGAGAAAACATATAACATTGCTGACCAATACTTATAGAATTATTGCAGCAATTACCTAGTACAAGCCCTAGTTTGATTACATGGATGTTCTTGATCTAACGATTCATAACATACCTTGTCCTTGGGGTGGTTGTGTTTGAGCTCAATGCGCAAGGCCTCGATGAGATTTGCTTGGAGCTCTTCCACTTGTTGAGGGCAGGGGAGGCCTGGGCAGTCTGAGAGGGAGAAACAAGAAAGATGAAATGTGCTATAGACATTATTAATATTAAATAACCATAGTGCTAAAATAAAGGAGTATGGACAAAAAAGGTTCAAATTCATCATAGTCCGGCCCTGTGACATCAAACAAAAAAGCATATTATCATTACACCCACGGCACTAACGAGAGCCGGTTCCTGTGGTAAGGTTGGCAGTGCCTACGAAAATGGCCAAAATGCAAAACTGCAAGATACCATTGGAGAACAGTGTTCATGTTCTTCCAGCCCGAAAATTATCCAAAGGCCAGTGCCTCGAGTCCAAGGTCGAAGGGAAAAAAAGTGTGTAAGGTGGAAGGAGGGAGCTCGACTTTCAAAAAGTCAATTATATATCTATGATCTAACGCTCCTCTGAACTCGCAGGGATTAAGCATTGAATAAAGACATTTTTTCCGTAGCAAGTGCGCATTCCATTCATTATTCCCATGTCAGCAATCCGCAGATTGACAAAAACTAGCTCATGTATACGCCCACCAAAAACCTCCAACTCACCCTGTGTAAGTAGGACAGCCGAGAAGAGCGCGAGTTCCCCGATGGTCAAGTTGAATGTCTGCATGCGGTCAACAACAGCCATGGCGTGGCCCAGGAGGCGAGCCATCTGCTCACACACGTAGTAGGAGTTCCGGCGAAGACGCAGTTTCCCCTCCTTGGTGTCCAGCTGGATGTAGCCAGGGGTTATTAGCGAGTAGAGCTAGATGGGAGGAAGACATCAACATGACCTGATTACGCAAGGAAATACTTCAGGTGAAAGGCGATTCATTTGAACAATGTAACTTCATGTATGTGTTTGGATGTAGTTGTCGAGAAAAACGCAAAAGGTCACAGACATTTAATTTACAATAATGTAACACAACTGTGTGTGTGGGTGTAGCTGAGGCAATAACCCTAATACAGGTGAACACATTTTAAATTTACAACATTGTCATGTAACTTCGTTTTCAGATGCAGCTGTGAAGAAAGCAGTGTCAGAGAAGATAAGGCAGATGCAGGGATAGAGGCCACTAACACGCTAATATAGCTCAGGAAAGCTAAATGTGAAACATTTCATAACCAAAGATAACTGCGCATTCAGGTTAAGGTGTGAAGAAACTGAATAAGTGTAAAAGATGATCAAAGAAACTAAGAAGGAAGATTGGACAAGAAAGCAGTTGGTCTCTAAGCAGTGTTACGAAAGACTACAGGGTATCTGATTGGTAGGTTCATAAAGGCATATAGGTCGATTTCTGGAACTTGAAGGAAAATGGACCAAAAGGGGAAGTGTCAGAATCCCAGGCGCAGAGCTGGCTGATTGGAGGCCGCAAACGTTTTGAAACTAGAAGAATCCCCCCCCCCCCAAAAAAAAAACGACAACCCCTTTCCCCCTCGAAAAAAAAAATCAACATCACATAATACATAACAAAACTTAAATGACCTTGCACCCATCTTCATTCTGATAATGGACATTAAGTGTTCAGAATTCAGAACACAATGAGCATTTGAACGCATTCAAGTACGTGACAGAAACAACTATAATGTACTCTGCAAAATGAGAAACCAGAAACACATTTCAGAATGTTTGATAAGAAAGGAGCAAGCACACCACGCCAGAGCTCGCGGCCACCCACCCATATGAGAAACAAGAGATTATTGTAGACGTTTGATAAGAAAGGAGCAAGCACATCGCGCCAGAGCCCGCCGCCAACCACCCACATCCTATCTGAGCTGACTCACCGCCAGATGAACCACCATGAAGCCGTTCCGCTTCATCAGCATGATCTGGTCCCGCATGCTGAGCGCGGTGAAGCCTGGGATCTTCTTGGCAAACCGGACGCTTCCCTCCATCACGGGGATGGTCAGCTGCTGGAACCGGCGGAAGATTCCCAGGGAGAAGAACTGGTCAGTGGTCAGTGCCTCCAGGACCTCCGGGGGGTCGACCAGCTGTGGGCAGTGACGGAGACAGGACTTTAATTTACATATTAAAATTTTACATCTTATATTATTGTACATTGAAAAAAATTACAATACTTTGGCCACTTAAAAGACGAGACCATTGAGAAAGAAGTGCTTAAAGGAAGGATGTGGGGAAGTTTAGTTTTAGTTAGAGTTTTACGGCACTTGCAACAAGATAAGGTCATAAACGTGCTGAAGAATAGATTTGTGTTACAACAGAGTAACAAACACATTAAAGAAGGAGGGGAGAAAAGGACGACAGATGTTTGAATAGGAAAGAAGGAGCAAATCACACTAGAGCACCAGCCAACCAACCACGATATGGCGCAAAAGAGCCAGGAGAAGACAAAAAGCAACATGGATGGACAACATTAAAACATGGATAGACTGGGTATAGCAGAATGTGCAACGCAGCTCGCGATCGGGAAGGATGGAGGGTCATTTCATCCTCTGAGTCAGAGGTATCCAGGTATATTATATTATTATATCATGCGTATATCAGAGCTAGCTTTTGAAAGGCGGATTTCAACTACACTAAATGAAATTTATAGACATATACGACATACATATCAGCCAGTAAGGTCTTTGAGTCAGGAAAAGAACATCGACACGATAAGAACCATAAAGACAAAAATAACGGAGGGAAATGGCAGAAATCAAAGTTATGATTAGCAACTTCCAAACGCTTCAGAAGATCACACGCACACACATTGCACTGTACAAATTCACACACATCCACACGGACTACCCATGCACACCACATTACACTATTCCATACATTCACACAAACACACACACACGCACATACACACAGACTACCAATGCACACCACATTACACAATACAATCCACTTACACACACACACACACACAAACACACACACACGTGCACACACGCGCGCGCACGCACACATCCACACAAACACACACACACACACACACACACACACACATATAT